GGTTTATTTGACTGTTTCGGTCTTTTGATGGGCTTTTTACCACCTGGAAAACTGTAAATGTAGGTAGAACATTGTGAACAAGGTTGTTTATTCATTAGTATTACACAATTATTTATTGACACTGTTTGGGAGGAAAAAGCACCGCAGAATTAAGCACTGCAAAAAGAGCATTCACTTCACCCCTTTACTATAAGATCATACAATGTATTTATGATGAGCCAAATATTATATATGCACACTTGTAATCCAGAAACTCTGCTTCTTCCAGAACTCTGGTGTTTCTTTCTACAGCACCCCAAACATATACACATGAAAAAAATTCACACCTGGCATATATGTTTAAGCAGGGATTTTAGGAAGTCTCTGTAACCCTGTGGGATAAATGCTTGCAGATAATTTCACCACAGAGCAAAGCACTGCCAGCTCAGCGCTGAAATGTGGCCTGGGATAGTAAAGCACTACAATGGGAGTGTCTTTATCAAGGAAAGAGAAAAGCCTTCAAAACCCTCCAGTCTTTGCTTCCTGAGAACAGCAGGTGCAGGTATTTTACTGGGGCTATGGGGTGGTGTTTTCTTGTGGAGCCTGGTAGCCAGGTTGGTTTTCACCCCTGGAAACTGGTCATACACTGCTAAAGGAATTTTTGGCGCCTTGTCTGCAACATCACAGGGGACAATTTAACCAAGGTTACAGAAAAAGATTTCCTCCTTAGAAAAAAATAAACAAAACTTCATCAGTCCTTTAATAAGCTCCTTTATTTTAGGATTTTACTCTTTCCTCTTTGTTGTGTCTGAAACTGAATCTACAAAGAGTGTAAATGAATTTAAAATATGATAATTTAAGTCATGGTATTGGCTGACATCTAGCACTGCAGAGAAGGCAGAGGGAAAACAAACCTCAAAAATAACTATTATTTCACCTAGATAGGACTTTTTTTTAGGTATCTTGCTGAATGTCATCTTATTTCCCTTCTCTTTCTCAAAATTTCTGCCTAAGGAAAGCATTAATATTAAGTAAGTTTCTGTTTAGGCCTTTCAGTAGATGAAGTAGATACAAGGAAATGTTTTCTTCAGTTCTGTTTTATACCAACTTATTTTTCTTCTTTTTAAATGTCACTTTTCTCTTTAATAACTATAAATCTTTTACAAATATCACAGAGTATTAGAAATGGGAAGTAGATGTACATAACATATTGTTACATTTTTTCTTGGAAGAATATTGAACTGAGTTCTAATTTTTGTTCAGACTGTTCTGTGGTAATGATACAGATATTACAGATTTTTTTGTTGTTATTAATTATATGCATCAGTGTATGCCATAAAACTTGATGTAACTTAGGGAAGATTAAAAAAATCAGTTCTCATTACTTCTGTAATGCTTAATAAAGCTTAAAAAGTGAAAGAAAAAAAACTTAGCCAAATTATATTTTTCAGTATGCTGTGAAAATGAATATTATATGATTTATACAGGATGTTTGAGCAGATCCAACAATCCTTTATATGAGATTATAATTTAATACTTTTATTTAGAAGTGAATAAGGATTTATACATTTTTTCCTTAAAATATAAAGAAACTGCCTCAAGCTTTCTGCAATTGACCTCTTTGCTTTGATGGTAATTCTTAGCAAATCCCAGGAGTCTGAGTAACAGTGACTATTTTAAAGAGATATGATAACTCTAGTTAAGCTGATTAGGAACCAGTTAACTGATAGATCTGAAATCTAGATGTGATTGTATAATCCTCCTTAGTGGAAGATCCTTTTAGGGAGGCCATTAAAAGACCACATTCCAAAAGTCCTGTTGATGATTTACAGGTGAGTAGGAAGCTATTGCTAATAACATTTACAAAAAGAGTAAGTCTAGTAAAAAAAACAATTACCATGCAGACATGGAAGTCACAACGTGACAGCAAGACCAGAAAACCCCAAAATGATATTTCTCAGTGCAATAGTGTTATCACTGAATGTTCAGAAACATGGACTTGGACAGCAATAGAGGAAAGAGAAATTAGGAGGAATGGTGATGATCTGCCTCCACCACACTCAGGGAGATTAGTCCAGGAACATTCCTTTCCATGCTTTAAAAGGGATTCTCAAAACCAGGAGGTGTTCCAGAGAAGTAGTCCCCAGAACTATTTGAAGGAATAAACTTTACAGAGTAAAAACCTAGCCATGAATTTGGTCTGTTTCTTTTATCAAAAGGGAACCTGACAAGCACCTTGATCAAATCATCCAGATGCATTCCCAGAGAAAGTCAGTGGCTGCAAGATGGTTCTTCTGTCTGGGAATAATAGGTCACAGCAAGAATCAATGGATGCAAATCAGTCAGAAAAAATCAAATGAGAAAAATCCATATGTGAATAAACAGTGAGAGTGTTAAGGCACTCTACCAAGTACATTCTAATACTACCAAGATGGACAGAGATTAATTAAGACAAGACCATCTTTTGGTGCATTCAGATGAAGGCAGGAATTTTTTCAAAAGATATGCCTTTACCAGGTGTGAAAGCTTTATGCAATATCAGATGGGTAGGTTGATAGGGCCCTGTAAATCACAAGTCCTTAAAATTCAGGACCACTCAGTATCCATTTCCAAATTTTTCCAAAGGAAAAGGTGAAGTTCAATGTAAGATTTAGAGCCTTTTATTTTATGCAGCTGTTCCATCCATAAGAGTCCAGTGAGGAGTCTTGGTTTCCTGCAAAGTGCAGAGGGAGAATTTGTCTCCTTGAGTTGGACAAAAACAGCAAACCCTTTCTAAGGAAGCAAGAGAGGTTCCTCTCTGTTAGGCATCTCTTTTGTCAGGTATCATCACATCCAGGTCACAGAACCCACAGATAAGGAACACACTCAAAATGTATTTCTTTTTACTAAATTTTAATTATTCATGATCATATCAGTCTAATCTTTGTAGGCAAATCTGTTCAATTTCTGCAGTGATTCTTCCCTGTCTTCCACCTTCAGAAGGTTGTTCTAGACCTGTGGATTAGTTTAATCAATGATGTGTTAAAAAGAGAAGTAAATTCCCAGACTAGGAAAGAAAACGCATGAAGGAGCCTAGGGTCTTGAATTCAGTGACTGGAACATTCACTTGAGAAGTGATTGTCCTGATAATGAAGTTTTGCAGACACAGATGTTTTTTCATCCCTAACCACAGATTTCTGGATAAGAAATTCTTGGCTATGTAAAACAGATTGATATATTTATTACTGTTTCTTTAAAATAAACTCACCTACATTTTTGGGATCCCTACTACTGCGTGGGACATTCAATGTTCTCCAGGAAGATTTATGAATTTAGAACTCCAACAGAAAGATTTATAGAAGGTTTAAGTAGGAGATGTGTGACAAGCCACAGAGAAGGGGAAAATGTCTAGGCATTTAAAGAAGCAAAATTTTCAGTTCTCATAAAATAAAAAAACAAGCAAGACGTTGACTCCAGGGTTAAGTAGTGAGTGAGGGAAGTTTCACTGGATTAGACTTTTAAATGTAAATGCCTTCCTTATTTCTAACTCCTTTATTGAATGTAGTCATTCTATACAAATTCACTATTGGTTAAATTTAGCTAATGGAATGATTATAAAATATGGTTAATGATCATGAATGCTAGCCAAAATTGAAATGTAAAGTAAGGCAATAAAGCATTTTATATACATAATCTTCCTAAAATATTTCTGTGACATACATAAATTCAATTTGGTGTAAAATATGTTTCTTCAGTTAAAGTAGCTATTTTTGTTAAGCCATCCAAAAGCAGACATTACTCCTATAAACTCTCTAAAAGACAGGACTGAGGTAGTTCTTTCACCTGTCTTGTTTTACTGTGTAGATCAGAGCTGATGAGGGCTTTTTGTTTGCAAAGCAAATACTGTAGGTTGCATTTACTAATTTACCACTGCCCAGACCAAGGGTTATGGCATCACTCTGTACAAGAGAGAACACATTGCTATTTGAGATAAAAATAGCTGAATCAAAAAAAAAAAAAATTATATTTATGGAAATCTTGCCTTTCTTGACTTTAATGTGTAAGCTGAGAGAAAATCAAAAGGATCTTACTGATACTGTGTAATATGTGTACAAATACCCCATAACCCTGATTCAGAAATGTATAAAAGCCAACAAGGGATGTAAATTTGTGCATCAGACCAAGCTGCTTTATGTTCTCTTTATAGTAAATAGACAGCATGGTCTATGATCTTCAGAGTGAAATTAGCATTTTCCCATATTATATACCTGCACTTGACTGGATAAATGATAAGATAAACTCCATTAAATGTACTTCATTGCCTCCATTTAGAAGCCTTATTACTCAGCTCAGATATTGACACCTAAAGATAGCCATATTAAATTAAATTTTGACCAAAGAAACATGAAAAAAAAATGAAATATACAAGCCAAGCAAAACTGAGCATGTGTTCTACTTGTATTTTTGTGCTTCGTGTTTTTTTCTGATCAGCGTTAATTAAGTAGCAACTAATTTTCTTGGTGTAATAATTTCCTCTGCTGTGTTTAATTAATATCATTGTTGAGTTAGAATCCAGTCTAAAGACTGTAAACCCTGCTAGTAACTAACCGCTGCAAAGACTGTGGGAACTGATTAGATGACCTTAAATGAATACATCTTTTAATCTTCTTCAAGAAGATTAAAATTTGCAGAAGACAAAATAAAGCTATTGTCTTAAAAAAAAAAAATTGAAAAAAAATCAGCAAAGATCCAAAATATGAAGCTTCCTTAGAAGCTGTGGTAGATGGTCTGCTTTCACACCATTCTTTGTGTAATCCAGCACTGCAGAAGCCCAAAGTTCTGATGGCAACCTCAGCTTTCACTTGCTATCAGAAGTCATCATCTTTCAGAGAACTTTGTCAGCATCTTCCAAACTCAACTGCTGTATAAAATCCCAGTGGGGAGAATCTGGATATATATTGTACAGAGGGATCAGAGGGTATTTCCAAAAGCTCCCAAGCATGGAATTGATTTTGTCTTTTTGGAAATTGTGTTTAACTCACATGTGCTAGCCGATCAAATCTGGCAAAGAGTTCATTCAGCATTCGGACCAGCTCCTGGGCTGACAGAGTTGTGGAAAGGTTGGTGAATCCTTTAACATCTGCAAAAAGAATGCTAAAAAAAAATAGAAAACACATAAATATTTCCATCTATTTCCTTTAATTACTGAATGTTTTAAGTTACCTTCTAGCATTTTACTAGTGGAAGGGTCATTTTACTACCTTTGAAGTCACACTACCTTTGCTCTAGACTTCTCTGCATTCTGGAATACTGAATATAAATATTGAAAGGACTAATAAAACACTGCTAGAAGTGAGAAAAAGTTCTGTCAAAAATAGGAGTCACGAAATTGTGGATTTTCAAATCACACAAGACTCAAATCCTAAGACTACAGACAGATTTGTGACAGTCTTGATATACACCAAGCTAAGGCCAGTTTTATTGCATCTAATTTTAGGCATTTAGTAGAAGTACCCAAGTTAGGACTGTAGTGCTCTTTGTAAAGTATGAATCTTAATTGGATAATTCCATTTTCATTCTATTGACTTTACAAGGATCATACTTTGAATTTAGGTGTATCAACTTGTATGCCTGAAGTTATGATAGGAACCCCATTAGCAAATTATTTGCAAACAGACTTCTAACCTGTGCTTCAACATCCAGTTATTTTTCTTGTCTTTTGGCTACTCACTGTGCCTAGAATGACCACATTATATATAGATTATATACAGAGAAACATTAGCACACACAAAGTCTGTGGTGTGCAGGACACCACCCAGAACAAAGCATTCAATAGCTCAGGACTTATTAGGCAAAGCAAGTATTGGCTACTTTATAAAGTAGTGATGTTCCAAAAGACACATATCATTGTGGCACAAACCTTGTTAGCACTTGAAAGTCAACTAATAACTGGTATTATGATCTGAGTAGCAGAAGATTTTGTTCCACTTTAGCTGATGATTGTGGTGAATAAGATCATAATTTGACAGCATCTGAGAATTACTAATGTAACCAATAAGAAATAAAGTAATGATAAGGTTGGCTACTGATAATATAGCACATCTTTAAATGTATGCACTTCTGAAGGTTTGGGTGAGGTTTAGACAAGATGCTTACAAACTTGGTAAGACTTTTACCAGTGTGAAGCAATAAAATTAAAAGGTAAAGTGCCAAGCTTCTTGAAAAGAAATTAATAGTAATAATAGACTACATTTATAAAAATAGGATTTTTGAACTACTAGTTTCTACACTTTTAATTTCCAAACCAACACAAATTTCTAACTGCATACTACTTTTACATCTAACATTGGTTTAGGTAGTGTTCAGTACTGAATATTTAGGGAAAAAATAAGGTGAATGAAATTTAGTTTTGAAAATTATCTTGTTTCTGACAGCATGCATAGAAGCCAACCAGTATCTATATTTTAAAGCATGCAGAATTTTAATTTCAAATCTCTTTCAAGCATAAAACATGTTTTGACTTCTCACCCTGTCTACAACCCTTTTCCATTAAAATAAAAGGGCCATCTTCTCCATATTTTGATTCTTCTACAGGAACACTTACTCTGAGTATGAAAAAGGTTAATGGAAGACATTTTCATTTAGTGCAACTCAAACCTTTATGAGGGTCCTTGATACTTTCAATCAGATTTAATAAAATAACATATCTGAGCTACTGAATGGCCACAGAAGCAGCAGATAATCAATTTATTCTTTTGAAGAAGTGCAAATTATTTTTATTGAACTTGTCCAGACAAAGTTATGTTTTGGTTTCATTGAAAGGCAAAGTACATGCTTCCCAAGCAAACTATCTGCCATCATATCTATGCTTATTTTTCACTTCCTTCAATGATAATTTTAAAGATGGTCACTCAATAGTTTACCCTTGTGATTTGGGAAAGGCTTATGGAAAATGCTGTTGTCTTAACAAAATATTCTGATTTTTGGGAAATAAAATAAAAACAGGATTATGTCATGTCATGGAGTGGAAGTTGATCATTCCAGTGTAAATTTACAATTAGGACAATTAGGACTCAACTACCTTGAGTAGCAGCTCATAGGATAATTATCACCCCTCTGATAACTAATTTTGGGAAAGAAAAAAATTAGAGAGAGGAATAAAGAAAGGAAATGGGATTAAGAAAATAACAATAATTAATAATAATTAAAATAATGAATAATAATAACTAAATGAAAATGGCTATAAATTAGAGGAACCATATACCAGGTCGCCATCTTTGAGAACATCTTACAAGTCTCCATCTCATTCTTCAGAGTATGGGGTGAACCATCAGCTCGTGGCAGAATATGGAGGCAGGGCTCCCCTTCCTGCGCAATCCTGACCACTTAAGTGGACTAAGTGTGAACAAGTGAAAAAAAGGCACAAATGGTGCAGCCTCAGTGCTTAGTTCAAGTGAGTCTTGGCATTGCCTTGACATCCAGCCATCCTGATGAGTAAAGGAAGGCATCAAAATGCTTCTCTGCTCAAATATTAAACAAGGGTACACGAATTTTCTAATTTACAAATGAATAAAGCAACAGAAGGGAAACCCTCAGAAAAGAGTAATTTAGCAACATCTGAAACCTTAAACATTACAGAAAGGCTACTCCACCCACCTGACATTCTCATAACGATGAATGTAAATCTTATGGAACTGGTGCTGCAAATGTTCATCTTCGACGTTGGTCATGTCATTTATCATTTCCAGGACTACAAACCGTGGTAACACGGAGAGCACCAGCCGTTCCTAAAACAAAGAGGAAACCAAAGTGTCAGTATCAGTCTGAACTGGTATTTCACAATGCCCTCTTTAAAGATCTGGATAACTGGTTATTTAATACGTGACTTTCCTCTCTAAAAATTCTAGCTCAGGCCATTTGTGATAATTCACTTTATCAATCTGAGTCCAGAGTCCAGGACACCTCTGGATAACGTAAGGAAGAATAAAAGAAGCTGACATGCAGCCATTCAAACTGGTGCTCTCGACTAGGAAGACTAGAGAACGTATTCAACATTTCTAATTAGTCTTGTCTGTGTTTCAAGAACACTCAGGAAAAGAGTAAACATTTGAGACATATGGTTATATACATGCACATATTTATTTATAATGTATATCTTTAATATTTATTAGTAGAGTATCCATGTATATTAGTTTACTATTAGTGTACAAACTCAGTGTATCAGTGGCATATTGTATTACATAATACATATATTAATGTACATATACTTCTAGTATATGTACAAGTGTATAAGGAGATACATACATATACACAAAAGTGCTTTTTCCAGGTCTGTCATAATATAATTAATCCCAGAATTTTCACAGAATTTCGCCAAATACTCTGAGTTGGAAGGGACCCACAAGGATCTGAAGTGACTGGCCCATGTGGGGCTTGGACCTGCAACCATGATCATTAGCACTCTGCTCTAACTAACCACATCTTAGTACAGCCAGGCAAGCCCTCAAAAAGTAATAAAAGTCTTTCACGAAAGCCCTAAATCATCCCTTGTGAGATTTTAGAATGTCCCTGCTTCAATGGCTCATCAGTTTAAAAGCTTTGACAGATTTTGCAAGTATCCAACCCAAATCTGTTTCTCTGCAAATTAAACCTTCTTTTTTATCCTTTCAAACTGGGCATGGATAATTATTGATTGCTGCTTTCTCTGTAATAATCTTTCTGTACTAAAATACTGTTATTGTGCCCTCTTGCCCCCAGTCCCCTTTAAATTAGAAAGCTTTGTCCACTATTGGAATATATCACTCCTAATCACTCTGAAGCACAGCTACAGTTTTTCACTTTTCTTTTGCTTTACAGGATTGTAAACACTGAAATCTTATTGAACTAAAGAAGATAATGTTAGTTATGTAAGCTGCTTATCATCAAATTTCAGACATTTTGGGGAATAGGATATATCTAGGGAAAACCAGATGTGAACTTACAAATAAGGCACCCTCTCCTCTCCTCTCCTCTCCTCTCCTCTCCTCTCCTCTCCTCTCCTCTCCTCCTTCCAAGAAGGCACTCCTTCCTACATAACATGCTGCCAGACTATGAGAGAACTGAGAATATCCTAATATTTAATCCACTTACTGTACAAACTTTTGCGAAATCAAGAGCTGCCTTTGTGAGGAAGAAAGAAAAAATTATGCGAGTGATGGCTGATATAGAGCAGGCTGTGAACTATAATGCAGTGAGATCATCCTTTTTTCTGGGAAATAGCCAAGCTCAGACTTTTTGTTTCCCCATACAAGGTGGTTCTAATTTTAGCACATCTGTTTTGTCTTGGCTTTCTTTCACCTTTTCCACCTGGGATTTCTGATATCCTTCATTCTTCTGATGTGTAAACACTGGATGTGGTGGTTCTCATAGCAAGAAGCAATTCAGTCCCTCAGGAGGTCCTTCCTACTCCTGCAAACCCAGGTTTTACAGGAACATCTAGTCCTCAGGTAGCTTCAATCACATGCAAATGTCCTATGGTTTCTTAACATGGCTTGCAAAGAGCTGCTCATTGGTAGTCTAGGAACCAGAAATATTTTTAACATTTTGTGTCTTTAAGCCTCCTCAGAGGCACTAAGAAGGCACTTAGACTTTCTTATTCCTTCACTCTTAAGACACCTAGATCAATATGACCAAAAAATAAATCTACCTCCTGAACAAATCAGATCAGTATTTCAGGGAATTGAATGAATAAAGTGTCCAGTGTCTTCTTGTGAAGATACAGTCAGAATAATACTAATTTTTTTTTCACTGTAAAAAGAAATATGTTATATCCTAGCTTACCCATGTAAGATGACAAATTGGAATACAAATTTAAAAAAAAAAAAAATTAAAAAAAACAAACAGATATCCTGGTTGTTATTGAACTTTTTATGAAATCTATGATAAGAGAACATTAATAAAAAAGTCATTTCCTTCATATACATATGGCTTAAATAGAGAATGTACTTTTTTTTCCCCTAAGGAAAATCTTACATTCCTTATTTGCATTCACTTAAGAGGGTATTGAGCAATGCCTCTAGAAAGTTTATTTAAAAGAAAATATAATTAGCCTGGCACACATTTACTAAGCCAAGAAAAATGTACCTAGCACATTGGATATCTTAACCTTCATGCTACTCATTAAGGTAAGTTAAATGTTCTTATCTGCACATAAGATCTGGTAATGACCCATAAAATTGAGGTTAATTAGTTTGCCTCTGTCACAGCCCTCCTCCATTAACACTGAAGCATCTGATGAGCCTTTGTTGGAATCACACCTGAAGGTTCATATACCACCTGTGTCACTACTCTGCATTATGTATGTTGTGCTAAGGAGGAGCACTGCAAGAAACACAGCATTTAAGTGTGTGTGTGTGTGTATCCACAGACATTTTTGAGGCACTTCTGTTGCCATCAATTGAAACATTCAAACGAGAGAAAAGTTTTCCCTCTATGGGCATCAGCTGTCCCTTGCTATGCCAAGCTGCTCTCACATCACACCACACTGACAAGATGGGAGGAATGCTGAACCAGGCCTCTTCTCCAAACTGGGAGCTGAGGTGGCCTCTAGTGTGGATCATTTCCATTCTTTCTTCTCCTATAGCTGATTCTAGTGTTCTCTGGACCAAGTTACATCCTTTTCCAGAGGTCTTTCACATCATTTTTCTTCAATCCCACAGTTAAGAAAGATTTTTAGATATTTAAGAATAAGTGCCAGGTCACTCTTCCTTTGATATAAAGATCTTTGCCACATAACTCCCCATCAAGCTACTTAAATACTATTGCTCCTATTTCACAGATTAAGAGACTGTGGCACAGAAGAGCAGCACAAACGAGTGGAGGTCAAGTACAAAAAAAGAGTAGTTAATCCCAGGGAAAAAAAAAAGTTGGTTTTTTTTTTATTGTCCTCTGTGCTTTACTATTAACATGATGAAAGAATCCTCACATTTCTAGTCAGTCTCTCTTGGAAGGCATTTTCAGAGCTGGAGGGAAACACATGAGAAAAAATTCTTTCTCTTCAGAGAAAGGCCAAAGAAAAAGTGTTATGAACTCTAGGGTGAAGGAAACTCCATTACCCAGCTCTTTTGAAAGATTACTAGTTGAGCAGTGGGCTAAGAGGAGACAATTCAAAGGAGTGGTAAGTGGTTTGAAAAGGAACTTAGATATATTTTTCAAAAGAAAAGGCATAGACAAAAGAAAACAACAGCAAAGGAATGCTAGAAAAGAACTGATAAACTGTTCTTCTAATAACCATCCATGACAAGAATGAACCCTGGTCTTTAAGATGGAGCAGAGTTTAGAGTAAATAAGTAAAAGAAGTACATTTAACCCAAAAACTAACCATGGTAAAGGCAAAAAGACCAGTAGAAATCACTAAATGTAACAAATTGATGGTAGAATTAAGGTCTGCATTCAGGCACCTGAGCTTTGTGACTCCAAAGTATTTGTGCCCAAACTTCCATTTCATCCAATGAATCTGGAGAGATTCTCAACTGAGTAAATCACTCCTTCAGTGTCACTATGGGTGTCTTTGGGCTTTGTTGCCTGTTTTTACTAGATCCCAGTCGATGGTAGTAGGAGCTCATAGATGTAAAATGTGTGTAGTCACCTAGTTTAGGAGGCGTCAAATATGGAGCTGACTCCTACCCAATCTACTCCTTCAGGAAAAGTTAGCTACAGTGGAACAAATCCTGCAATGATAAGTAAATTAATTTCATGAGTCACCCACATCTACTTAAAGTCCCAAGACTGTAGTTTAACACTTATGCTGTCTCTAAGGCCCATTTACTGTTTTTTGCATCTGCAGTAGTCATTCTTTGTTGGACAGCTTTGCTGTGCTCTGTATACACTGATCCCTTGGGCCACTTGTACTGAAATCAGGGGTACCAGTGCTTACAACTGCACAAACTCCATGTGTAGGCACATCCACGGAGAAGTGGGGCACATCCCTGATGAATAAATAATGAACTTTGCAGCAGTTTTTGAGAAGAGTCAATTAACCAGTGCACAAGGCCTCAGTCTTGTGAATAAAAACAGGAGACCTTTCCACTCGGGCTGATCAAAGACACCAAAACACCAACAAGCAAAAAACATTGACAAGCAATTTGGGACCTGGAGGAGAGTTCTTAGAGGAAGGTCAAACTCCCCAAGGTTTCTCTGCAGGTCATGTGAGGACATTACCCCTTCGAGGTCTGCTGTCTGCATAAGCTCTGCCTACCACCTCCACTCAGATTTTACAGATTTTTCTTTGTTTCACATAATTCTTATTTGGGATCTATTTGCCAAGGCAGAAAAAGCCCCTCTTGACTGACAGGTTAGTTCAGGTTTTTCTCTTCCTCCTCTACACGTACCATCAAAAGGGGGAACCTACAGAGATGCTGTGGGAGTAAGTCTGGGTTTGGAATCATGCTGCTTTATGGCTGTTCCGAAGACACTCATGTAAAACTGCAGTGGGCGTACTCCAGAAGTGTTTAACGATAGATGCTCTAGAGAAAATGTTTCACATTTTTCATCTTGACTTTTAAGAATCATTTTTCCAGAACCATCAAGCTTGTCTTTAACAGCATTTACAATTAATATCAGAGACATTTTATTGTATTAAATACTGAACTTAATAGCTGTGAAAAGGCCCATTCAGATCAAGAGCAGTTTTAGTCTTTCTGGAGCACGTGAACTTTTATTACAATTAAGGGAAATTGATACAAATTTTCTACTGAAAATCTGACAATGTTCAGAAAAGATGTATTAATTGTAGATGCCACTCTAGAAA